TCTATATATAGAAGTTTTCCATGAAGCACCAGATGGTCTTTCTAGGTTAACGGCAAAAGTGAATTGGCTTCAACCACGCATTACTGACTGACTTGATACAACTTGTTGTTTCTGCTCCAAAAATGCATTCTGACACCATGAAATGTTTTCCTGACCTATAAGACAAAAGTATTAAACAAAAATTGTCTTCATGCAATAAATTCTCCTCACACATCAAGCGTTAAGCTTCTCTGATGTTCTGTGTAGCTGGTTTGAGATGATCTTTGTTCTGGGATTTTGTGATAGGAGTACATGACAATTAACTAATAACAGTCTATATTGTCATAGCTTTTAGCCATGTAAGATTCCCAACCACCACCTTAATCTTCTGCTTTGTTGCAATTCTGACTGCACATCATACTTATATTCTGTTTTTATATAAATAAATATAAACCAGACACTGTATTGTATGTGTGCATGTATGAATATATATATTTGTGTGTTTGTATACAACATACATATATAGTTGTGTATATAATTCTAATTATTATATATATTCATACACATGTACACACCCCCATGCACAATACAGTCTAATTACTTCCTCTGCAAGCAAGTGGCTAGAAGGGGTAAGCAGTGGGATGTGTCCTTACTCAATAGACCCTCAGGCTTTGCCCTCCCAGCCGAGATCAGGTATCTGAGCACATGAGCTGCTCTGTGAAAAACAGTAACATAACTCCACATCCAAGAAAGTGAGGAGCAGGGTTTTGGTGTTGTGACCAGTAGGCGTTCTGGAGAACAGCCAATTGTTGGCAAAAACAGGTAAGCAAGCTAAGCAAGCAGAGGACAAGCAGAAAGGCCTTCACACTAGTATCTGTCATTCACTTTCTCAGCAAATACACAGCTCCTCTGTGTTGATAACTTACTAACAATCTGAGTCTCTGCCTATTTTACAGGATGACAGCTGAGTTTTTTCCCAGTGATAAGAGTGTAGCCTCTGTTAGCTTCTTGATCTCTTCATTATGCAAGCAAATACTTACTAAGTGAAAGAGCTTTTAAAGATGCATTATAAGGATTATAAGGATTGTTTGTTCAAATGCAGTGTAAAGCAGAGCAAAGTCAGCTGGATACAAGATTCCCTTAGTAAATAATTGCAGTAACAATTCCCATCTAAATGTATTGTCTATAAGTAGCAGTTGGCCAAGCTACAAGGGTGGAGGGGGATGTATGTGTGTTTCTGTATGCACATTTAAGTATCATATTTCTTAAGGGCTAGGGACAGAAGTTGCACACAAGCTGGTTTAAGTGATCAGAAACTGGTTTAAACCTGTAACTGGACAGAAGTTCAGTGCACATAAACCAGTTTCAAAATGACTGAAACTGGTTTAAGATAAACCTGGTTGAATGTAGTATCAGACTTAACAGATCTGGGTCAAACCGGTTTATGAAACTTCTGCCCCAGACCAATTCCTGGTTCAAGTTAAATCACCATCCCCCAGCATACCAGCATGCTTTCCAACCCTGAGCTGAGCTGTGCTGTCTGCTCCAGCAGAGAAGGGTTGGGGATGAAGGGCAGGCAGGGACTGCCCTCCCCAAGCAAACCCTAGCTGGGTTCTGGAGCCGGGGGGGTTAAACAGAGCTGCTTTGCTTTGCTTAACTTAGTGTGACTGTGAACTACAAATCCAGAGGCACCTGGAAGCAGGAAGAAGTGATGAGCAACCCTGCACAGTCCTACTGCTGTGATTCTGGACTGCAAATCCTAGAGACCTCAGGGGCGGCAGAAAGATGATGCAAACACACAGCCCATGCTGGCTGTGTGCCAGAGTCATGCTCTTGCGCCCCCCAGCTTCTGGCCTGGGTCTACAAAAAGGCATGTGGCTACAAAAAGTAAATGTTTGTTCACTTGTTAGTTAGTTTAATCTCTGCAGCTAAGACCAACCTACAAAGATTGAATTGATTCAGCCCCAGCTTTTTGACTGTCTGTACTTGTAAGAAAGCTTGGATTACAGAGAAAATTGACTCACCACCTCCACCTTCACTACCAGTTGATTTCTTTACCCTGATTGCTAACTTAAACCTCTTAGACCTTTAACAAAGTCTTCAGCCTTTTTTCTTTCTTAAAAAAAAGCTGTAAATGGGAGCTTAAGCTGTGAGCAGTGTGATCACAAATGGTCATTTCAGTGACAGCCTAGTGGCCACTGTACCAAACAAGTAGTAGAGCAAAGATGTTCCTTGCAAGATTGTAGGTCATTTTCTCAGCTTTGCATTCAAGACCATTAGTTGTGGGTATATTTCTGTTTAGGGGATGTAACATGGTATAAAATGTGGAGGAAAAATGGCTGCCTTAAGCAATCTGGGTTTGTTTTATTCCTAGGGTCTACATTTAAAAAAAAAAAAAAGAAAATGAAAATGTGCTGTTACTTTGTGCAAGTTACTTAAATCTCTTTTGGCCTCTTATGTTATATCCCCATTTTGTGGGGTGTTCTGGAGATGAAGCCAATGCTATACTGCAGTGACCAGATACAGTGTTGGAGGGTGCCATGTAAAAACCTAGGTAGGTTAATGTGTGCTAAAATGACCCAGTGCATGGAACGACAATTTTTTTGCTGTTGGATACTTACCAAATAGGAAATACATCCTTCTCCCCTCCCCAGATATTAAATGTGATTCCTGGCCACAAGTTTAAATGAGGAGTCATTGATTGTATTTGTCTACATGTAGCAGCTTTCTTTAATACTATAATGCTGTCAGGTGCAACAGACTTCCCAAGCTTTCACAAAATTCAGATGAACTTAGTTGTCGTTCAAAAGAGATGGTTTACCTGAAAAATATGTAGTTAAAAATTGCATTGTCAAAACAGTCTCTTCGAAAGAAGTCTTTCCTATTATACTTGTGTAATTGGAACATGTGAATAATATAACAAATACTGAGGAAGTAGGAAATTATAAAGAATTTAGTGATATTGCATATAACTAATAAAGTATTTCACTGTCAGTTTCAAATTTACAGCATTTTTCTTTTCTCTCCTCCAACTTCTTAGATTCATTAGTGACATCATTCCCTTGTTTGGGGAAAAGATACCGGAAAACCCATTTTATAGTGGGGCAAGTCACAATAGTGATAATATATATCCCTTTACAAAAAGGGCATTTAAAATGGGTCAAGTAAATACAGTTTTTCATCTGCTCCATCATATTAGGAATTAATAGCACATGAAGGTGTTTATCTGCTGAAGCAGATGAGATACTGTGTTCTAGTAATCTTCTGGTGGTAGCTAAAGTGTGTGAAGAACTGCAGCTGATTAGTTTTCTTTGATTTGTTTTCACTTGTGGCACCCACTGGTGGCAGAAGAACAGAACTGCTAGATCAACATATACTTGAAAATGTCTTGTGTAAAATGCCTTGTGTTTAAAGGAGCATTTTAGAAGTGTCCCAAAGATGTAAAAGCATCTTTATTGCCTGCAGAAATTATTTTGAAGGAATCTACTTTTGTATCCAGCACAACATACACTTACCCCCTTTGTTTCTAATTGCCTTGCAGAAGCCTGAAAATATTGCATTGCAATGTTTAAATTTTCAGTCCTTCACAGCACCAATCCAGTTTTCTTTCAGGGAAAGTATGCAGGAGGGCTGTTACCAGAATTTGGAGGTGCTGTCTTGGATCAAAGAGAGGAACAATTCTTTTGGTGGAGGGGAGAGGGAAGGTCTTAATGTTAATGTATAATAAAGTTCAAATAATTTGCCTGTTTCAAAGCTTTTGCATAAGCGTGCATTGCTCTCACTGTGTCTACTGAAAAAAAAACCCAGATTTTTTTAAAGAATAAAATCCTTAAATTTTTCAGGCTGAAAATTTGACTTTGAAATTAACACTTGCTTAAGAATTTATTTTGGATTCTAAATACCAGTTTAAAATATCTGTAACATTTCTCTTGAGAGAGTATGTTTCTTTAAGTAGGCAGGGTGGAGAATCACATTTTACCAAATCAAGCCAAGTCAGTCTCAAGGCCACTGTAACTGCTGGGGCACCTTAGATGCTGCAACAACCCTCCTCTCCCACTTTGCCCTGTGTTTAACTAGCTTTTTGCACTCGGTCAGTTGAAGCCCTATCCAGTCCTTAATATTGGTTCCCCAGCTCTTCTTGGATCTACTTCTTTTTCTCTTTTGCTCCACTGTGCCCTGCATTATGATGTTGGCAAGGGTGTCCAGCCTTCTCATGATGTGTCCAAACCATTGCAGCTTCTTTCATCATACACCTTCCAACAACAGTTTGTAGGTTCCAGTTTCTGGACTGATTTACTGCTTGATATACTCATTGGTTTGGTGATCAGTGTACGAGATACACAGCAGTCTCCTAAAGCAGCACGTTTCAAATGCCTCAATTCAGTTCTCTAACTTCGTATTAAGCGTCCATGCCTCACAGGAAAATAAACCAAATAAACACTATTTAATAAGCTGTCTACTCTGACCAAAAAAAAATTAATATTTGTTTTCAATGACCGGAATCATTTTAGTCTTTAGAGGAGTGTGTTGTATGCTGAACACATGGGTGCATATGTCCATAGCATTTAGAAATCTTTGCTGCCATAGAAGTTTTGAGATCTGCTGTAGTTGTACAATGCGTTTTTGAATGAGAATTCCAAAAGAGATATTAATAATACAAACAATGTATGTAAAGCCCCTTGATATTAGCTTTTGGAATACTCAACCAAAAGGAATCCAAGGTAGTAACCATTGGTATTCACAACCTTTTAGATGCTTTAATTATTTTTCTTCATTTTAAACAGCTGCTTCCTTTTTTTTTTAAAGTATAAAGTTCCTCAAATGACCACGGGGATGACTCCTACTTCGAAAGAAGTGCCAAAAATCCATGTAAGATCTGCAAGTCCCCCTATAACATCATAGGCATTGTGTGATGTGCTAGTTACTGGATGGACTCAGCGATAAATCTTGTCACAATTTATCTTTTGCCTGTATGTAATGATGTGTAGACAGTGTCCTATTCTGAACATTGTGTTTTACAGGGACATGGCTGAAGAGTAGTTTAGGCCTTGTACAACAAGATGGAAATCAGCTGACTTGGACATACATTGCACCACAGTTGGGTTATTGGGTTGCAGCCATGTCTCCTACTATCCCAGGTGAGAGTAATTTAATCTTATTAATGTATTCAGTAACAAATATTAATTTATTTATATTTTTCCAAATTACCTCATCTGAGATGTCACAGCTTAATGAAAAATAGATTATTCAAAAGTAGATTTGCAAAGAAAGTGTTACATTTTTTAGTGGAGGGGACCTTGTACTTGAACACAAATATTCTTGTTTTAAGAATTCAGAACCTTCATACAACTTAAATAAGTAAGTTTTTAGTACAGTATCCCTTGCTGTGATGTCACCCATGTCATCATTATCAACTAAATGTTGCTGGTAAATGAGGGAAATAATAACATTGGTTTAGTTTGAGTTCCAGCAGTTACGCACACATCCAGTTTTCACCTGAAACTAATACAGTCTTAGGTTGAATGCTAATTAATTGATATTTTCATTAGTTTATCAAACGTTTAATTTCTTTGGGCACCTGCTATAATCTCAATGACTTCATTAAACTTACACCAGGCATAGGGTTAGGGTGGAATTTGACCCTAAACAAGTAAAGAACTAGTGTCTGAAACAGCCTAATTCACCATTTAGGCTGAATTGGAAGCCTTTCCAGATTCATCAGTTGACATCCAGGAGGATTTTTAAATAATTTAGAAATCAGTGGGAGCTATCTGTTGCTTGTACTTATACCCTCTTAAACTGTTAACATTGCAGCTGGATTTCAACACCTCTCCCCCCACCACGCTAGTTTAGCTCACTAGCAGAGTTGCCCTGCCATGTATAATCAGAGGCTCTTCTGTTTAAACCAGGTGCAAACCACCTCTTCTGAGATTTCATTTAAGTTTTTGATCAACTTGAAAACAAAGGTAGCCTGACTGAAACTACCTCGCCCTGACTATGCAAATACACTGAGCTCTGTCTGTCAAACAAAGCAACCTGCGCTGCAGGGATTTCTTCTTTGTATGTTTTTCTGTAGTTTCCACAAACCTTCCTGGTGGTTCTCTTTCCTTTTAAGTTTTTGTTCAAGCTTGTGCTACCAAAGTAAAATTGCTGAAACATGCAGCTGTCTCAGTGCTGAACAAGACTCAGTTGCAGGTGTAGATAAAGACAAACTGTATCTTTAATTCAAAGCAATCTGCCAAAAGTAATCGTGCTTTTAAAAAGACCACAACTGTTAACCAGATGTTTCTATGATGCATCTTTAATTTTTAATAGAGTTTCACCACTTGTAATTTTGATCCCTTATTTAACATATTTTGCAACATCAGTTTGCACTTGTCTTTAAAGATTTTTCTTTAGCGTCGAGTTCTGTTTATATTCTGAATTGCCATCCTGTCAGAGCCTCCGTCAAGATTTCTCAAACTTTGGCATGATAGGCACCATGGTTTACTAGAGATTCTAATAACCACCTCCCTTCTTATCCACATAAGTCTGTTGCAACTGTATTGTATACAACTACTAGATATATTTAGTAGTAGTAGTATACAGACCACAGTATAGGATTATCTTTCACATTGTCTAATGCGACAGGCCAGATCCTGTTTTTTACTACACTACCTTGCCTGAAAAGAAAAATTGGGCCTGTATATCATACAGTGGTAAGGATAAAACATGAGTGAATTGGTACATGTGCAAAACCTATGTGCATTTGTGTGTTTATCTCTGTGAGTAAATATTGCACTGACCATTCTAAAAAAAATAACATTATTAAATTAAGGACTTGCCTTTCGAAGATGCTAAAGATGTGCAGCTTCTCTTGACTTAAACTGGAAATTTGAACACCTGTCTTCTCTAAATAAGATGTGTCACATCTACAGCTTATTGCAAGGTGATAAAATTGTGGGTAAAAAGAAATCTGAATAGGCAAACATGGGTCAGCAGCAATTCTGCTCCATGCACACCTGAGAACTTTGCAGTGGCTTCCCAACTGTGGCATGGCAATTGAGCTATAAAGCATGCCCCTTTTGGAACCAGGTAAATTTCCACAGAACAGTCTATTGGCATTATAGCCCTTTCCACAATATTCCCCCCTCTCATACAGCACAAGAGATGAGAGAGCAGCTAAAAAGAGAGTTATTTGTTTATTATCTTGAAAGCAAGGGAGCAGTTGTCTTCATTTGCAGCTCATAATGCCTCACTTTGTTGAAAGGTTGTCACAAGTCTGAATTCTTTTTTTCTGGCCTTCTAGGTCCCATTGTAACACAGGACATTACCAGCTATCACACAGTGTTTCTTTTGGCAATTTTAGGAGGGATGGCTCTCATTCTTCTGGTTTTGTTCTGTCTCCTTTTGTATTATTGCAGGTAATGTTTATTGTTTTGATGATTCATTTCACATTGAAAATGTAAGCATCCCTACTCGCTCAATAATGACATTATTCATTCTCTGTTTCACATTTAAATATATGCAGCACACACATGTGCATGCACACGCACACACGCACCTTGATTTGAACTTCAAAATAAATGACGTGGTAAGACAGTCCCTAGCTGCATACAGCACAAGTTGTTTTCCCGGGTCTATTAAGTGGGGAGTTGTAAATTATACATCCCCATAATTCACACAGTTAAGTTCTCCATACAGAATTAAACCTTGAAACTTTACATTAAAAAGAAGACAGTGCATCTTGAGTCTTAAATCCATTTGTTTCAGTGCTGCATGGATGTTTTCAGTAATTTTTGTTTTAAAATGCTAAACTTTTATTTAATGAACATGCATCGCTGACTTGAAGTTTGTATCTTCCAGGCACTTGCTCCAGTTTAATATTATTCATTCAGGAGGTTTCCCAAATTCTTGTTTACTTTTATTCTTTCTTGAAAGCTAAAGAGTTGAGCTTTCAATTGCTGCTTGAAATGCTTTTATTGTTGCACACTCATTGGTCTTATATGTACATTAGTTATAAACATAGAATTTTTTATGGCTTATTGCAGGAGGAAATGTATAAAACCACGTCAGCACCATAAGAAATTGCAGCTTTCCACAGCACTGGATGGTTCTAAGAAGGATCAATCAACCTCCATGTCTCACATCAACTTAATATTTTCACGACGGGAGTCAGAATTTCCTGGAGGCATGTCTGGTACCAGCAATGGACACACCGAAACATCAGGCACCAAGGAGTTAATAAGTGCTGTCCACATGGAAATGGTGTCTCCTAGTGGAGAAGCAGATATGCATACACCTATGCTCAAACATTCATACAGTACTTCCCAGGAATTCAGTTCCCGAGAAGAACTGCTTTCAGATGAGAAAGACAAAAGCAGAATCTCCTTGGAGAGCCTGAATCCTAGTGGGACTTTAATAAAAGACTATCAGAAATCAGCAGATACTTTTCCTTTAAAAACAAGAAAATCTACAGAAATACCAGAGGGCTATGAGTCTCCTATCAAAGAAGATTTCAGGAGAAGTTACAATGCTATGCTGTCTCAGCCTTTATTTGAAAAGCAAGAGAGAGAGATTCAAGTATCCCTAAACCACATTTCTACAGGAAGTAAATACAATATTCAGGAACAAATATACCCTACACCTTCAGCCCCTGAAAAAGAACTGCTGGACTGCAGACCAACTGAATGTATGATGTCTCGGTCTGTTGATCATCTTGAACGACCTACATCTTTTCCTCGACCGGGTCAGTTGATCTGCTGCAATTCTGTTGATCAAGTCAATGACAGTGTTTACAGAAAAGTGTTGCCTGCATTGGTCATCCCAGGTCATTACATGAAATTACCAGGAGAACACCCTTTCGTTAGTCAACCACTGGTTGTCCCTACTGACCAGCAAATTGATATAGAAAGACTGCAGGCTGAGCTTTCCAACCCTCATGCACAGCTTTTTCCACATCCTCCCCAACAGATACAATCCCAACAGTTATCATCACAAGCAATATCTCAACAACATTTGCAAGATGCAGGTGCAACTGAGTGGAGTCCACAGAATGCTTCCATGTCAGAGTCTATATCCATTCCTGCCTCACTTAATGATGCATCTTTGGCCCAGATGAATAGTGAAGTGCAGCTTCTCACAGAAAAAGCTTTGATGGAACTTGGAGGTGGAAAGCCACTCCCTCATCCTCGAGCATGGTTTGTTTCTCTTGATGGACGTTCAAATGCTCATGTTAGACATTCATACATTGATCTCCAAAGAGCTGGAAGGAATGGAAGTAATGATGCCAGTTTGGATTCTGGTGTTGACATGAATGAACCCAAATCTGCCCGAAAGGGAAGAGTAGATCATTTACCCATTCAGCAGGTTCACCAGCCAGTGCAGGAGCACCAGCAGAGAGAACAGAGAGTGTCAGATAGTACAGCTTACACACAGCTTGTGTATTTGGATGATATGGACCAAAGTGGCAGTGAATGTGGAACAGCAGTTTGCAGCCCTGAGGACAGCACTCTAAGATGCCTATTGGATGGGGCTAGTAAAAGAAGTGTCCAGTTGCCCAGCCTGCAGGAGGAAACAACAAAAAGAACTGTAGAAATGCAACCAGAGCCATTAACTAGCCCTGAACATGGGGCATCTGTCCATGATGACGATGATGATGAGGATGACGACCAAGGAGAAGATAAAAAGAGTCCTTGGCAGAAACGAGAGGAGAGACCACTGATGGCTTTCAATATAAAATGAGCTATTGAAAAAAATCTGCTTTTCAGTGGAGTATAATTGCCAAATATTCTTTCTGTGGAAGTGCTTGATTGTGGAAGAAAAAAGAAAAAAAAACTGTGGTGGGCAGCATTTGACAGAACTTAAAATGCATTACTGTGTAAATGTTAGAGAGTTAAAATCATTATTCTGACTTAATGGATGCCTCCAGTGAGATAGCTGAAAGAAGAGTGTGATTGTTAATCCATTTACTTGATATTAGTCATCAAGGATGTTGAAAATACTGACAAATTGTTTTGGCTGGTTTATGACCTCAGTCTCCTTTCTAGTGGGAGCTCGTGAAACTTTATGTTTTCTTAAGCCAATTTTATCTTGATAATGCTACTGAAGAAATACCTAAAAACAAAAGTGTGACACTTAGTGTCTAAAATTATGCATTATCTCAATGGAAGGCTATGCATTGCTGCTTTTTAGTAATATTTTGCTTATACTATGCTTTTCTTATTTTTACAAGTTGGTTGTAAACATTTTATGTCATTATTATAATCTATTCAGCAATTTGTCTTAATGTAAAACTGCAGGAAACTTGAGTAGCATCCCTTGGTATCAAAGCCTTTTTATAAAACCAAACTGAACTTTGTGTCAACTAGGAGTCCTCCAATTCTGGTCCCATTAACTCAAAGTGCCTTTTTTACAGTAACAATGAAGAGTCCCTTCTTTTGCTAACTCCTTTTAATTGACCCTGTTTGGATTTTATAAATATATGAAATTATACCTTTTCTTTTAAACTGCATGCCAAGTGTCCCATTTGTGCTGAGCATTTCTCATTTCAATACGGTGTATTCAGTAGCTATCATGTGTACTGTGGATTCTCGTTTAGCCAAGGTAGACTTAGAGAACATTTTCATGACCCAAAATAGCCAAGAAAATAGTGTCATTGACTGTATATATGGTTACTATTCTCTAGAATCCTATGAGCTAAGCTTGCTCACGTAATGTGGATGATGGGCTGAGCAAGTGGACTGAATGTGTCTAAAAACATTTTGAAGAAAAAAAATTATGTACTATCCAAAAGTGCCAGAGTTATTCTTCTGTGCTTTCTCCATACAGAGCTGCTTGGTTATCCAAAAATTATAAATAAAAATAAACTTTAAAAAAAAATAGCTTTGTGGGTGGTTTTTTTCCTGCTGTGGAGTGTCTTCACCTTGTGTGTACCTATAAGTTACTAGGTAAAATGATTTTGGTTCACTTTTTGCTGTGCAAACATCCATCTATATGATTCATTACATGTGTTCAAAAGAATATATCATTGCTAAAGATTAATTAAGTCCATATTTACCCAAGACTCCCCCTCTCCCCACCCCTAATCCCCTGTTCAGGAAACCTTCTCTATCCCGAAAGCACTTAACAATCATAGGAAAGTAAGGCTGGAAAGGATCACATAAGGTCATCTAGTCCAGCTCCCTCCTCAAGGCAGGATCATCCCTGACTAAACCATCCCAGCCAAGGATGAAAATGCCACAGTTTCTCTAGGTATAGAGCACTGAAGTCCATAGGAGTGAAATCCTGGCCTTACTGAAGTCAATGGGAGTCTTGAAGTCAAGGGGGCCAGATTTTTCTCTTAAGATAGGCGTGTCAAAGATATGGCCTGCAGTGCCATCCCTGGGTCTGAGTTAGCCCAGGTGGCGTGTGCCAGACCAGCCACACATGCAGGACCCAAGAAGCATGCTGCATGCAGTGCCATTTTCAGGATCTGAATTACACACAGTGCCTGCCCCAGTTAAGGACATGCATAGGGTGCCTGGCTAGAGAGGGTGCCATCTGAGGAGGAAGTGGACCAGTGAGGAGGAAGTGCCAGTGCACCATGCATCTTGGATTGGCATAGAGATGGGGACCATGGCTCTGGACCAACCAGTGAATCGGCTACATGCCACTCACCTGGCCCACAGGGCCAGATGAGTTGTTGACCCTTGCTCTAAGTCACTGGAACGTACTTAAAGTTAAGCATGTGCTTAGTTGTCCTGCTGTATTGGGAACTAAGGATGATTGTGGACGTGCGGTGAAGCTGCTCTGACATGCTGTAATTACAGCGCAGATTCACTCCAGCAGTCTCCACATCTCATGTATTCAGCATCCCCATGCTTCAAAATTGGCAGCAGAGGCACTTTAAATCTTGTCGAACAAGCTTTAAAGTGCCCCTGCCACCATTTTGAAGTACAGAACACTGAATACACAAGACACTGCGGGTGCTTTAATTAGAGCGGATCTCAGAGCCACTCTAATTAAAGTGCCTCCCCCTACCCCCCAGAGCACAAGTAAAGATGCCATAAGGTTAGTGATAGAAAAACTAGAGATCCTCCACTTTTGTGTATGGACTTGAAATATTTAGTTCGTTGTATTTTGTTCAATTATTCAAACAGTATTAGCAGCAACTCTGGTGAAGTTGCTCATTATGTAATTCCCATCTTAGACAGAAAGGAACAAAGGTACAAAGACAAAGTGACTTTTGCCAACGGTTACCCAGTAGGCCAGTGACAGCTGTGAACAGAACCCAAATCTCTATAGAGTCCCAATTCAGTGTCTGAACCAGTAGGACCCACTCCATCATGTGAGTCAAGTCAGGAGATGAGAGAGAAGATTTCTGATACAGGATATTATACAGGGGGTATACAGTGCATTAAATATTTAAATGATTATGTAAGTGCTAACTAAGTATTTATTATTATTTAATCCCATTCTAAGTGCATCCTCCTGCCTTTTAAGTATGTGGAATTTTTGCCACTGACAGTACCAAAAAAGGGGCCTATGTGATCTATGTTGTGGTGCCTGGTCACAAATTCAGAACAGGTCTGTTTTAAATAAAGGGACACTTACTGGGTATCTAAACCTGTTATAATATCTGACTTAATAATTTGAATATTTTAAAAAACATATTTTGATTATACAAACATTAAACTTACTAAAAGCATTGCAGTAATTTCTTTTAAACTCTTTTCCTTAAAATTTGGTCAAATTTGTATTTAATTGGATTTAATTATTTAAATTTTATTTTCAGATACCATTAAAATATCTTGTAAAGGTAGAGACAACCAATATTAAATTAGGTTGAAGCAGTTTTTCTATAACTGACTTTAAATTTATGTTCCTTTTTTACATTTTGTGGTGAGGAGGAAACGTAATAAGGTAGGATCCTGATATTATACTGAATGCAAATTTTATTTAAAAGAAAACTAATGCAAGCTGGATATTTTGCAGTTTTGGAACTCTTTAAAAATACCAAGTAGATTTGGGGGGGGTTATTGTCAAACCCACATTTCATGGTAATTGTAACAGGGCACTAAGGTGCCTGCTACTTGGAGAGCCGGGATAAGCACCCAGGTGCAGGTTGCTAGGGTAACCAGAGGATGCTAGTGACCCACACCTGCCTGGTCAGTTGACTGGAAGGGGCAGGGCTTGGCTCCTATATAAATCCCAGGCTGAAGGCTAGGAGTTAGTTCCCTGCTGGCAGCTAAGAGGGAAGGAGCTCTGCCTGAGCGAGAAAAGAGAAGAGGCCTGAATGCACAAGCAGCTTGATACGGGTGAGGGATGGAGCACCCTTGGGGGTGGCTCGAGTGATGTTTTAGCTGAGCAGCGTGAATTTATGTTATAGCCCAGGGGCTGGTGCTTTGTTTGCTGTTTGACCGGTGGCTTGGGAGAGGCTATAAGGGGATGGAGGAGACCTCATAGGGGGTCCACGGCAACGTGGGGACCTGGGCACCAGAGAGGGCACAGTATTGGGGGTGCGCTGACCCTGAACGTGAGAGAAGGCGCTGCATTGGAAGTGTGCCAACCCGACCACCAGGGAAGACGCAGCACTGAGGTGTGCTGACCCCAAGCCCCAGAGAGGGGTAGCGATTGATGAGCACCCGTGAGGCGTGGAGCGAGAATTGAGGGTGCTTTGTAGACTAACTAGACATGGTAAGGGGTATCGGGGGAGATCACGGCGACCCCCTAGGACTCCCTCCTGTTACAGTAATAAAAAATAGTTTGATTCTGACTCTTAGACTATGTAACTCGCGAAATGGGAGTCTCTCTCCAAGATGCCAGAGTGATATAGTAAGCAAAATTAAGAGAGAGCACTGCAAACAGGGTGATGGGTTAGGTCCTTGGGAACTCTTGACTGTCAGAGTGGTTGTAACAAAAAGTTGGTTCTTCTGCACAATCTCCCAGCTAAGTGACACCAGCTTGGGGTAACTCACTTAGTAGAAAGGGAGTCTTGGGTTTGATCTATGCTCCTGAGATTTTGTTTTTTATCCAGTTACTATTTAATTGGAAATGTATAAACAGAAATGGAAGCAAGGACCAAAATCAGGGACTTGCTCTCTCAGAATAGTGTCCTAAAACCATTAGACAACAGAATCAGGCTCTCTCCTTCTGGTCCCATGACTTTTTCATTTTCTATACATTGGCAAAAGTATAGTGGAGAGTGCCCTGTTGCAGCATTCTCCTGGGAAGTGCAAAGTGTGTGGTGTTTTTCTTTTCTCAGCATGGGATATATAATTCCACTTCCCATACAACTGTTCTAATCATAATTCTGTTACATGAAATGAGGAGGAACCACCACCTCCTTTCAGGAGCCACAAGGTGCCTGGTTATTTGGGCTGCAGCAGGTCTGGTCATATACTCAAGGATGTGCTAGCAAGTAAGGTTTTTGGATTCCTGTCTTGGACTTAAGCACCTGAAGTCCACCCACCTCCTGTTTTAGGTACCCAACTCCTTCATTGCATCCTTCCCTCTTATGAAAATCTGGAGAAGTGACCTGCTTATGTTTTGCAGCTGTATAATAAAGCAGGCACAAATAAAACTAAAACCTAGAGAGCCAGGTTGAAATTCAGGACTGTAATTCAGCAAACAACATTCCAAGTAACCCCAGTTTCAGTAGAAAAGGGCCCAGAAAATATTGGTATGAGTGCAACTTCTTTTTTTCTGCTGACAAGTTTTAGAGGTTGGACGGGGTGGGGGGGGACCCCAAGACAATGTACTGTAAAAGATGAAAAAGTAATAAAAACATTCAATATCCTAAAATAGAAGGATTTTTTTTGGACACAATATAATGGTTTTTACTAGTTCATAAACATCAAGGTTTCTTGAGTGTGGAGAGCTGATGCATGGGGGGAAAATGATTTCTCTCCAGCTTTATGTAGGTATATATGTATATTTTAATTAGGGCTGTCATACAATAAAAAAAATTGATTGCAATTTTAAATTGCACAGCTAAACTCAAAATTATGCACAGAAAGTTCGTATGGTTGTGGGGTGGATGTGGAGTATGTGTGTGGGGGGGAATTTCTGAAGATGTGGGGGGCTGTGGGTATGTGGAGTTCGGAGCCTAAGGAGAGGGGGGTCCCCGCATACCCTGGCAGGATGCAGGGTACTGTGGGTCAGGAGTGAGGGGCAGCAGCAGGACTTGGGGTCTGTGGCTTGGGAGTGAGGGACAGACACAGACAGCACCTCACTAGTAAGTCTGTGGATGGGAAGGGGTGGGGGGCTAAATTGAGGCCCCCACAGTGGAGGAGGGACTAGGGCAGGGCAAAGGCAGGGGAAGGCCTTGGGGTGAATGTGAACCTGGAGCTGGTCATGGGATGAAGCCAGGGGTGGCTTGTTCAGGAGTTCAGGGAGAGGGCGGGGACATGGCTCCCAGCCACTGTATGCATCCCCAAGGGAGGCATGGAGGTCACATGCTCCCTGGATTTGTGCATGGGGTGGAGGTGGGCTGCCCGCTGTGGGCTGGTTCTGTGCCCTGCTGCCTTTGCCCTGGGAGCTATGCAACACCATGTTGCAGACAGGGGACGTGCAGTGTGACCAGCGCACGGCTCCCAAGGCAAAGGCAGCAGGGCGCAGAGCCCCAGCCTGCAATGGGTAGCCTGTCTTCATGCTACA